ATCTTCGGATGAAGAATTGGGTGGTTAGATCAGGATCACAGTATGGTGTGGACTTTGTTGCATACCGGCATCATCCATCTTTGGTGCATTCGGAGTATGCTGTGATTGTTTTGTCTGATAATAATGGTGAAACAAATGGGCGTTTGATGGTTTGGTCTGATTATCATTGCACACTTAGACTTTGTGGCAGTGTTGCAAAGACATTGTTGCTTCTTAATATTGATAAATGTGGAGAGAATGCAACATTGCCATCATGTTTAGAAAGTTACATTGTTGGAGAAAGGACAATCACTAGGTGGAGTCCACAACAATGCCGTGAGAACCAAACAATTGCAACTGGGGAATCTTAACACCAAGAATTTGCGGCAGCAGTTGTCAACAAGGATTAATGACAAATCAGACCATGGAATATTTTGATGATTTTTAATGCAGGCTTTGATGGTTTTAGAAGGGATTGTCCCTTCTGTACAATTTAGAAAGATTCAAGTTCCTCATCTTGCTTACTGGATTTTGGTGTTGGAAATGTAAGAACTGCAAAGAAGTCCAAAGAAATTTATTGTGTATGTCAAGTGATAGAAGAAGTGGAACTGGGAAAACAGGCTTGGTAGCAGCTGTATGAGATGGATATTGGACAACTGGCACCAGTGTGGTTGAGGTTAGCAGTGAAACTTCCAGCGTTGTGTTTTCAGTGTTAGAGGGCTGAGAAGAACAATCACAAGATGAATCCAGATCTTGCTGTGAGAATTGGATGGGATGATGATTACCCCAACCAAGGCATATACTTGAGTTTGCCTATGTTCTAGTAATTTTGAGAGGTTTCTGTAGAATGCAGAAGGTGCTGGCCTGATCAGGTGTAACGTGTTTTAAATTACATTTTGTAGTTCCTATTGATTGTTTAAGCTCGAAATGTAATTGATATCAAACGTTGAGTGTTCCTGTTACTCATCAGCTTCGATTGAACATTGTGTATCTATCATTTCCTTTGGCCCTCTGCCGCCCCATCAGTCTAATGAATATCTCATTTATTCTCTTCAGCTGCTATATGCTAAGTGCAGAAATGTCTGCAGGATATACTTTATCGAAAAGAATTAGATCTTAAAATACAGAAATAATATATAATCGAGGGCATTATACTGAGGATAATTATATTTGTTTTGCGCACAAACCAAAAGATGAACTAATTCATACTAATTCTGACATCAAAACTGAACTCAATGGAGCATAAGCTACCAATCATACATTTTTACCAAATCCGTTGGAGATGGATTACTGTTATTGGCAAAATAGATGGTGTCTTCAGTCACTGACCAATAGCAAATGTTTCCTTGCCATTTGCCTCCACAAGCTTCAGCCAAGTGAGAATTGAATACATCGAAAGTTATGACTTTCGTATTCCACCAAAAATGACAGAGATATCTAGGCGTCTCCCACACAATAAAGAAATGCCAACTGGAATTTTCTTTTGGTTGAAGTGTACGAGAACCAACATCAGAGTCTAAAGATTGGCAGTGGATCTTCAAGGGTGGAGAATTGATCGGAAAATTATTCACTATATAAACGCCATATCCCTCAAAAATAGCAAGAACTTGTGTACCCTGAATCAGGAAAAGAGAGGAAAGAAGCAAGGAGAAAAGAATTTTGATAGTACGGTTGCTCATATTGTCAATTTGAGTTTAGTTCGAAGTTATTGAGTTGCAAGATATTTAGCATTAGCCCATGTTCTTTATATAAGTTAGTTACCATAAAAGAAATATAAGTAATTTGGCGACATGTATGAGAAACGCGTACTTAGCTGTAAAAGCTTCCTCAATTAGGCAAATCATTTATTGCAGTATCTGGCTAGAACATAATTTGGAAAACTTTTAACGGTTGGGGTTATACCTGGCAATTGGGCTGATTGGGCGGTTTTTGGGCGGATTGATATTGGGTTTTCATTTAAATGGGTGACACCCAATCTGCTCAACTTTAGATTGGGTTAATTTTGGGTTGGGTCATATTGGGTCATCTCAAACCCATGACCCAAATATGACCCAATATATTAATTAATAGATTTTGATACATAAACTCTCTCAAATACATTTTCACATACAAAAAAAAAATTTCACATAGATAGACATATTTTTACACACTAAAACACTCATAGACACACACACTCACTTCTTAAACTCTTTTGAAATACGTTATTTTTACACATACAAACACATTACAATACACACTAATATACTTTCACAAATACACACACATACTAACTATTTAAACTACTTGGATGAACTCACTATTTTTTATACAATTAAGGATTTTCAAATTGGGTATAGTTTTGGTCCAAACTAAGAGACCGAAGCAATAATTTTGGGTGGAACAAAACTAAGAGATCTCGATGAAGTGATCAATAAATGGGGGGGACTTGTTTTTTCATTTTGAATGAAAAAAAGAAAAAGAAAAAGAAGAACAGTAGGATGCATTTTTCCGGAACTCGGCAAAAGGATGGATGTGAAGAGCGAAAAGTACAAGGATTTTCTTTTTTCTTTTCTTTTTTTTTTTAAAAAAAATCCTACTGACATTTGTGCTGCACCGTTCATTTCTCAATTTTCGTTCTTTTTAAGCATTACTCGTTGATCATCCTGCTCAGTGTGTAGTAGTAGTTTATATATGATAATTATACATACCAGTACATATATGGGTTTTGCTTGATCCAACAAGGCTGGTCATTTTTTTTGTTTCTTGATTTTAATTTGTTAATTTGTTTTTTTAACTTAAGTTGGGTAATGGGTGCCCAACACAAATACCCAAACCACCCAAAATGTATTTGAGTTTTTATTACCCAACCCAAAATTAATCCAAAACCCAACTTACCCAACCCAACCTCTCAAATAGTGGGTGGGTTGGATGGGTTGTTGGGTTTTGGGTATAATTGCCAGCTCTAGTTGGGGTCAATTAGAAATTGGCAAAACATGTTAAGTACTGTGCTATAACGTAGGAATGGCAACGGGACAGAGGTGGCCACTAGTCCCCCGGCCCCCGCCTCGCTTCCCCGTAGGTCTGATAAAAGTTTTTCCTATAATTGTATCGTAGCCAAATTTTAGTTAAGAATCAAGAACTTAAAATACCAACACATCACGAAATTATTATTCACTGTAATTTCACAATTAAAACCCATAAAAACAATCAAACAAAAGCGATTTGAATACAGTCCAACATGATGAGACAAATACAATTAAAATGGTCAAATTTTTACTTTTGAAACAAATACAATCACCAAGTCATTATTGTGTTTGTCTTTTTGAAAAAAATAATTTTATTGTGTTAAGTGTAATTAGGAATTTAGTATAAATGTATTAATAAATTTAGCATAACTAATTAATAATTTCTATTAGTATACATATAGAATTATTAGTATAATTGATAATATTAATTATATTATATATACTAATGTACATTACATAATAGTTATAATATCATGATCATAAATTTATAACTAATTAAAATAAATAAATAATATATATATATATATATATATATATTTTTAACGAGTGGCGGGATAGGGGAATACTCTATCGCCCCCACCCTATTTTTTAACGGGGGGTCGGGGCCAACTCTTGTCCTATTAGCTCTCGTGGAGCACTCGTCCCAACTGCCATCTCTTCTATAACGTAAAAAAGGTTTCACTAAAGGTTCGTGCTCCTAGTTTTTATTTAGAAAAATGATGAATTTGACTAATAACAAATATACTTGGTGGTTTTTTTGAACACTTTTCACTCTATTTCCCTCTACTTGACATGAAGTTCTACGGTCCCACCGTATCCATGAGTTTGTTCGACAAGTATCAGGATATAAAAAAGGATCCTCCTTTCTTCCAAATTAATTTCCATGCAACGAGCGAGACTTAAAACTAGTTTTTTCTAACAAAATTTATGAATCTAAGCACCTAACATTATCTCCTAAGCTAGCTTGAATTGAGCGTAATCATGACACATGTAAAAGTAGGGTATATACTATACATGGATGCTGCAAAGTTGGCTACGGTTCTTTTAGATAAGGCAACAGAATAATTAAGCAAAAGATGGAAGCTCTCATGCGTCTCATGCGGCCGATTTTCCGATGATGTTTACTCTTATTTGCGCAAGGGCGGAACTAGTGGTGACCAAGGCGGGCAGTCGGATGCACAGTGCGGGGACGATGGGAATTTCCATTAAAATTCTCTCTTCGCCCACCTTCCTCCTTCTCCCTTCTCCCTTCTCCCCCTAAATTTTGAGAAAATTGCATTGCCCTCCACCAAATTTTTGCTTTATGAAAAATTAAAACTTTTATTCTTTAGATTTTTTTGACCTCGCTGTTTTACTATTGATAATCTGTAAAGTTCATCTTGTTATGGTTGTATTAGCAGTACAAGTTGACTAGTTAAAACAAGCTCAGACCTTTCATTTACATTCCTTCTCCTTATACTACCTAATTCGTCCCTTCCCCCTCCCTCCCCACTTTAAAAGTAAATTTTGTACATACTTTTCAATTAATTATTTCATTTTTTTTATCTATCAAAATTCAATTATAAATACCTGGTCACGCATACATATAATTTTTTATCTGAAGGTGAGTGAAGAACCACTATTGATATTCTTAATACATGTATCTATCTATATATATATATGTGTGTGTATATGTGTGTGTGTAAAATCTTTTATCTGTGAAGTTGAAACTACTAATTAAGTTTGAGATTAGAGGATACTCAAATTGTAGCTTTTTGCTCTCCACTTTCTAAGGATGTATAGTTGTACTAATAAATAACTAATGCATATTTTGTGTTCAGTAATCAATATGCTGCTTGCCTACTGTGTTTCATACTGTTGAGACAGAAATTCGATTAAACATTTTTATACTTTGAGTTGTGATCATATATGAAGTGTTCGGGGGATGAAGGGCGGCTGAACAGCTGGTCCCTGTATTGGCTGCGGCCATGGACATACTAGGCTAGTAATTGATTGGTACAGCTGGTCCCTGTATTGCTCAATTATTCAGTCTCAAGAATGTCCAAACTTTCCCCTAGCAAATGATCAGCAATCCTCTTTGGCTCTTGCACTATAAATACAACTGCTAAGGTCCTTCAGCTCTCTCACCTCAGCATTTGGTCTTTAGGACTCTCTTCACTCTGCCTTAGTAGAATTCAACGTAATGTGGCCCATGAGCACAAGTCCTATGGACTTTCTCAAGCTCCTCTGCTTTCTCACATTTGTTTCTGTGAGTATATGATACTATATCATTCAAAATTAAAGTTATAGGCTATTTTAACTTGGTGAGAATTAATTTTTCTGCATTTTGGGTAGTGTAGAAACTCAATTACTCATAAACTCTTTCTGCGTATCGTGAAATTTATACCAGCTAGGAGTCGTTGCAACACATGCAGATCTTGATGGTTATTGGAAATCCAAGCTTCCAAACACTCCTATGCCCAAAGCTGTTAGAGAACTCGTACACAATGGTTTGTCTGAGAAGCAAACCTTCCCTATATCTCTTACTTATTCTGCTTCTATTGCTCGAGTTGATTTTTTCTTTTTCAAAGAATCTTATATACTATGGAAAAATCTTTACTGTTGGTTAATCATGTACAAGTAGTTTTTCTTTTTTTGAGAGAATTGGTGCGTTTTATATTAACAAAATATAAGAATTTACACTCTTAACAGTTAACTTTCTCGTTTTCCTTTACAATTGTAAGACTAAATGATAGCTTTGTTTACCCTATTGAGATAACCGGTCATAAAGTTCGCAGCTTGGTACGATACGCAAAATATGCAGTCACCTACCTAAAGCATGATATTTCGTCCTTTATATCAGATATGCAACTAGAGCCCTCCGAGGATAGAATATGTACAAGTGATTGTATGCGCTATATCCAATCCACCATAATGGGCCACTTATTTTATTTTCGTTTTTCGTAATTCACCAAAAATTAATTAAACTTTTACATTGCCTGAAAAGAACTAAAAGAGCCAACACCTATATGGTTTGCAGGAGTAGGTTATGTATATAGTAATTAATCTAGCATGCCTTTTGTTTTAACAAAGGAATTGTTTCATTGATGAGCAGGTACTGTCTTGAATGAAAATCAGTACCCGGCTTTCATTCCTTAAAACTTCATATTTGTGACCCTGCTAAAAAGGTATTTTCTCATTGCCATTGCATTAACTACAGGGAAAACCTCTGGAAGTGGCAGTTTCAGCAAATTACCAGATTCAAAATTTCAAATATATAATGCCAGAGCTCAAGTGAACGGCCATGGTAGCAGCTTCAGCAAACTACCAGATTCAAGGTTTCAAATATATAGTAGAAAATCACAAGTGAACGGCCATGGTTTCAGCTTCAGCACTCTACCAGATTCAAGGTTTCAAATATATAGTAGAAAATCACAAGTGAACGGCCATGGTTTCAGCTTCAGCACTCTACCAGATTCAAGGTTTCAAATATATAATAGAAAATCACAAGTGAACGGCCATGGTTTCAGCTTCAGCAAATTACCAGATTCAAAATTTCAAATATATAATAGAAAATCTCAATTGAACAGCCATGGTATCAGTTTCAGCAAACTACCAGACTCAAAATTTCAAATATATAACAGGAAATCTCAGGTGAATAGCCATGGTACAAATCCAACTAAAGATCAACTCTACAATGACAAAAACATTACAATTTTCTTCCTTGGAAAGGATTTGCACCGCGGCTCAAGCATGAATCTGGAGTTTGTTGAGTCGCTAAAGATTACTACACTATTCCTGCCAAGACAAGTTGCTGATTCCGTTCCCTTTTCCTCCAAATCTGTTCCTGAGATTTTGAACAAATTCTCACTGAAGCCACAATCAGAAGAAGCCGAAACTATTAAGAAAACAATTGCAGAGTGCGAGATGCCTGGAACAAAAGGGGAAGACAAGTACTGTGCGACTTCACTCGAGTCAATGATTGATTTCACTACTTCCAAGCTGGGGAAAGATGTTCGAGCAGTTTCAACTGAAGCAGAAAAAATAGATACCAAAATCCGAAAATATACTATTAAGGATGTTGCCAAGTTGAACACGGCTGCTAAAGTCGTTTCTTGCCATAAGGAAAAGTATCCATACGCAGTATTTTACTGCCACACATCGCAGAGTAATGCATATATGACTAATTTGGTTGCTGCTGAAGATGAAGCTAAAGCTAAAGCTGTGGCTGTTTGCCACAAGGATACATCACAATGGGACCCAGAGCATTTGGCCTTTCAGTTGCTAAAGGTGAAGCCAGGAACTGCTCCAATCTGCCATTTCCTTCCTGAGGATCACATCATTTGGGTTCCAAAGTAAAAAATATTCTGCAACAATATTGCCGGCATCCCCTGTCCGGGAGTGTATCAATATTTGTCAATTTAACATGGCATTTATGTTTGCTGCAGTGTGGGAGTTCCAATCACATGCTCCTTTTTTTTTTTTTTTTGGTTGTTTCAGTCGCATGTTCTTCCCATGATTAAATGAAACCTTGTTTAGTTTCGACTCTAATGGTTGTACTATGTCGATGTAATATCACCCAGATGGAATGGTGTCTGGGTAAGTATTATTAATGGTTCAATTATCTGTGGGCTGTTTTTCCATGTGTTTGTGGGTTGTTTCTAGATGTGCTACTTTAGTTTTGGACTGTTTAATAAAAAATTGTTTTTCTAAAACACCTCAAAAACAGGATTGTCTACCAGTATGCTCGAATTGGGCATGGGGCCTCACAAATTCCATTTTAAACCAGTTTGCCTTTAGAGGATGAACAAATTGGAAAAGAGTGTAAGACAAATTTAAAATGACCATTTTTTAAGGTCAAATATACTCTCATGTCTTCTTAATTTTCGGTGTTTATATACTCTTTTTTTTTTTTCTTTTCGTGGTGATAAAATGGTCACAGCTATAGCAGGTCACCTTATCGTGGGTGAGACGAGGTAAATTATGCTAACAATTTAAGTTCTTTTCATGATTTGAATGTCTTTCTCTTGGATTCTATGATACCTAATGTAGAACAGGTTGCGCAAGGTTTCATGGACAAAATGGAGCGTGCAAAGAATCACAAGACAAGGCCAGGACGGACAAACTTCTGAGCATGTCCGGCGCCAAACTTCGTGGAAATCAACTTGCAAGGGTGATTGGTGTGCCATGACCAGCGCTGGTCGTCATCGGCAACTTTATTTTTATTTTTCTTTTCTTTCTCTCTTTTTTTTTTTTTTATGTAATTTCATTTTTTTTTCAATTTAGAACTTCTAATTTATATGTAGGGTCGTACTAGGGCTTTTTTATTCAGACTTTTATCAATTATTATAAAATTTCATTGGTTTTTACCAATTCCTCTCAACTTCCTTCAAGTTTTAAGGTTCATGTAAATTTTCGAGGTTTGACTATGAATCATTCCCTTAGTTTCTTTGAGAATTGTTCGTAAAACAATTCTTACCACTCGCTTTCGCATTAGTTGGCATCAGAGCAGGATTTCGCCTATTTCTGAGTTATACCAATGTCTAGCAACAAATCCGGAGATGAATCTTTTGGCCCACAAACTGATATCCAAATTCAAAATGAGTGCTTGGATATTGAAGCATGAGAAGACCGAACAAAGGACACAGTTGGCTCGTATGCAAGCATCCCTGGATTTAGTTATTCAATGCTTGAATCGTTTGGGTATTGCAAGACAGAACCAGCAGGGTAATTAGGACAGAAGAGTGCCTCTTGACCAAACCTTTGTGATAAGTGCCTAATTTATAATATATTTGTGGCTATTTTAAGGATTTTTAATCTCTTTTTACCTGAAATCAAGAATTGAAGTTGATATTATCTTAAAAGTTGATGTTTGAGTATTGTTGATTAATGATAGAATTTTTATCCCTTTTACTTGTTTAGTCTGGTTGTTTTTATAGGGAAAACGGAAAAAGATTCAAAAGAACTTAGTCGCCAAGTCAAGTGAAGAAATTGGAAATTGTCGCGAAACAGGGGAGGAGGAACCGGCCATGGTTACTTAGCCGGTTCCTAAGCCAGCTGCTGGGTAGAATGTATCAACTTTTACTATGAAATTTTCAACTTCATAACTGGCCTTGTAACCGACTGAGTTTCCTCCAAGTGTTAGCCAACTGAAAATTTTGACTAAGAAAATGCAACTTGCTCAACTTGTTTCTCGAAGGGTTCTCTTTTTATGCACTTCAAGATTGATAAGACCGTTATCTTAACTTTCTCTTTTGTATTTGATTTCATATTCAGTTATAATACAAGCATGGTCTTCTTGTTCATTTTCTTCATGTTTCGTTAAGTTTATGCTTTGAATTATGGATAAAATTTTTAGATCTTGTTTGTGATGTTTTGATACGTTCCTCGATCAACACGTTTCGAGACACGTAGCACGTTTGCCCAAGGATCTAGCGAGGATGTCCAACGCTTGGAACTGCGGGATCTAGAACCAAACGGACGACACGATTTGATTCAAGACGGTAGACGACACTCCGATGAAGGTGAATACTCCAGGGGAATAGGTCGGTAGAACAATCTAGGACAGGACGCAAGACTGCTCAAAACCCTTGCCAAAGCAAGTAAAGGGGTCGAATCTCTCTCTCAAGAAGAATCGAAAATATGCAAAACTTTATTGATAAAACGTCTCCCTTAAACCTTACAAAGCAAGCCTATTTATAGGCTAAAGTGACTAAAATCCTAAAGGCTAGGAAAAGGAAAAAGTCGGCCCATGTTTTTGGAACAAGATGGGCCGGCCCATGCTCTTACTTAATCATTAACTAATTGCTAACTAATTGATGGGGCCTAAGGCCTTATTCGCTTGGTGGCCCGCTTGACTCTTCGTGGACTTGGATCATGGTGTAAACGACTCGATTGTCTCTCTCCAAGCCCTCAATATCTTAGTGAACTCCATGTTGGTCTTGAACGTTCCTTGAATTGCTTAGCCCGTGCACATGTGACTGGGCCCAATGGTACTTGAACTGGGTCATTGGTGGGCCAAGGTCCGTGCACACATCAGTCGGACTAGACTGAATTTTCCCTACATCTCCGTGAATTTTCCCTCGAAACGTGTTGATCGAGGAACGTATCATGTTTCCTTGGTTACTTGATGCTATTATTTTGAGCAAATTATTTAGCATTTTTGCTTTTGTAATCAATGATTAACTAGCCATTAATTGTGATAATTTCAAGGTGTCAAATTTGCAATAAGAATTGAAATTTAATACTAGTTCAAAGAAATGCTAAACTTAGGGAATACACTCACGAGAGTAGGGGCACATTTTTGTGATTTTGATGGTTTGTTCCATGTAATTTCATAGAAGAAAGGTGATTGTAGTTAATTTCATAACACAAGAGTAGATATGAATTAACTACAAGTATAGTTAATTTACTATAAGAGTAGATTTCATATGTATTAGAAAATTATGCCATAACTAATCAAGATAATAAGGATTAAATTAATTGATAATTTCACTTATAAGAGAAGTAAAGAATTCTATAACCCTAAGAGCTTTCTATTGTCATTTTTGTTACTGTTATTTTATGTTTGTAGTGTAGATTTAATTTTCTTGTATTTGTGATAGTCTAAATAATAAAGAAATTTAAAAATTATTGGTAATTCACAATCTTCCCTATGAAATCAACACCTAATATCCTCTATATTCGATAAACGATCTGTATACTCATAGAAAACAATGTGTTTAGCTTTTATTAAAATTTAGTGCATGGTAGAATCTCACTAAGTTTTTGTCACCGCTGTCGGGAAAGATATGGTTCAATATCGATACAAAGAATAGTTTTATTAGTTTAGATATTTTTACTTGCTTTTCTTGTATTTATTGTGTCAAGTTTTTTGTTTGTTGTACTTAGTGTCTTGTTGAGTCTTTTATTTTGTGTTTAATGTTTTGTTTTTGTTTGTGTCTTTTAAATTATTCTTCTTGACTAATTTTGCTTTTTAGATTGCTTGAAAGCACTTTTAGGTTCTAAGGAGGATAGTAAACAAACATAGATAAAATTTTGAGAGAAAAAAGTTCAGAAATGTACTACAATTTTCAAAATTACAACTATGGATGTAATCAAAAGATATCCGAAGGTATGTCTTATAAAGATGGTTTAAGTAACTTAAAGGTTATCAAGATTAATTAAAATTTTAAAATTTTATAAAAAAATCTTTTATGTGTTTATGAATTAGACTTTTAAATTATGAATAAAATTGTAACTAATGCATGATAGTTTCTTTTCCTTTCCTTTCTTAATCCATACAAAATGAATGGATTTTGATTTTCTCCACTCTCCTTTTCTTTTGTACTAGAATTCTCTCCTTTACTTTCCTCCCCTCCCCTTTCCTTCAATCCAAACAGAGCCGTAAGGCTTTGTCAAATTGGCTAGTATACCGTGAAGACGCAGACATTCCAAATGTCTACATCTATTGGCCCAAATCACATGTGGTCTATTTGTCCCCTCTATTATTTATGGTTTCAATTATGGCCGTACTTCGGGGAATACTGGCAGTGTTTTTTTAATTCGGAGCTGATTGAATAGTTCAACCGGTTTGATCGAGCAATTATTGGTCTAGTAAAAGATTCAGCTTGATGGGGAAATCAGGTTCTTCAATATTCTTTCATACTTCTTTGTATCTTCATAATTTATATACATATTTATAATATCATGATAACTTCATTCACTTTTCATTTTCTATTTTAATTACGATACAATCAATCAAACCTCTCAAACCCTAAACACCCCCCCGGTCCCCGCGCGGGAAAAAAAAATTTGTGGTGTGCTTTTTAGTATCTTATTCGGACTCAGTTATAGAGTTCCATTGACTTGGCTACTTTAGTGGAAAATGAAGGCGTCGGACATGAGCACGGCGGGGCAAAGTGAAGAGCCTGAGTAACATAGGTTGCAGCTGGTTCCATCGACTTAATATAACGAACTTCAAGATTGAATGGGACTCTTTGCTCGTTGTTTACTTCATGAATAATTGTTTATAAGGACACTGAATTTCTCAATTGATAAGCTTGACAAGATTTTCATGGGTTCACGATCATCTTGTAGTATTCATGTCGGGGACCACTTCTGAAGCGTTTTGTTTTTGTTAGTTCGGTGGTAAGTTTCGTTAATACCAGGTAAGTCAACTTTCTGCAAAAAGATAAAAGTTCACCTGAAAAAAACACAGATACACTTGCCAGTATGAATTTAGCACAACCTGACTGGTACTTACATGATCTGAAAACCGGTAGGTGAGTTCAGGGTTGGTCTGGAAGAGTTGATGTATTTGACGTAGATTCATCAGAAGTTTGATATGTTGATGATCGTACACAACGTAAAATAGTAGATATACAGATCAACTACATACAACCAATATTTTGAAAATTGGATTGGATCGGTTGGTTCGATCGGTTGAACTGCGAACCGATCATGCCTCCGGTCCGATTTACTTAAAAATTCAAAGAATTAATTGAACCGGTCAAAACTGGTAAAAACGGGGAGGTTCAACCGATTTTATTAAGTATTTATTTTTTAAAATAAATATTTTAGTTTTATTCAAAATGTTTAATACTAAAATGAATAAAAAATTATTAAACCTTTAAACCGAAATCGAACCGATTGAACCGTAAAT